AGATCTTTATCGGTGCACCTTTTGTTATTTTGCTAAAGAAAGATTCCAAGTCCAAGTGCAAACCAAGAATAAAATAATTTAAATTAAGGCTTCCTCGAGTTTCAGTCTCTTGGAGGTTCTCTTCTCCAGTAGGCCTTTTGGAGCAACAGTGGATTTGTCAACAAAACATTTGAAGAAAATCTCAAATAAACTGTCCTCCCTAGGAAATATTTTGGGGTATGGAACTTTTAGAGAACATAGCTGTAAATTCTGGGTTTGGAAATTCAGTTTCACAAAGCTGAATTGCAAAGCAGGACTATCTCCCCTTTCTAAATGTTAACGCAATATGGTGGCTGATTTGTTGAGTATTTTACAGTCATGGTAAACTGTATTCCTGAGGTGAACCGTTAACATGACATCATGTTTACGTAGGTTCTAACTAGGATGTTAACATTTGTGTTAGCAAGTCTGTTTATACCTCTAGGCTTATTGAAGTAATAGGAAATTGAAAATACAGAGAGGAAAAAGGGTTAGTAATCAGATGTACATGTAAATCCATGTGTTCAAATTACTTCTGTGAACAAGTAACATTAACTTCATCATTCACTGATATCAGTAATACTGCAAGGGAATTCATTGTACCTCTTAATTGAAAACAAGATAAGGAGTTGTAAAACCACTAAACAGTTTTAAAAAACCTATTAGAATTTTTTAGGCTATTTTAAAAATCCTATTAATATAGAATGGCAGACTTGATTGTCAAACAACTGTGCAGCTAAATGAAGATAAATATCAATTAACTTCAGATCCATTTTTAAATTTTAAGACATTTCTTTAGCCAAAAAGAAAAATTGCAAGAAACCCGTGCAGATTCAGTCTAGGGTTACTTCTAGCATCAAAAACTCAGATTTTTGCCTCTTTCAGCTGAGCATCTGCAGACTCTTTAGTACAGCCTAACAGTTCTTAACCTTAAGACTGGCTAGTCTAGACATAGACAGTATTTTATTTTGTAAGTTGCTACTTGAATTAAAGATGAGATGTATTTTTGAAAAGCCTAGGACAGGCAATGGCATTGTCTATTTTAGACACCACATTTCAGAGCAAGTTGTTGTTAAGTTTCGCCAGTGTTTTTTAGAAGTAACTTCATATGATTTGGTAGACTAAAATGTAGTCAGTTTAAGTGGCTTAATTTAAGTGAGACCTGACTGCTCAGCATTGGAAAACTTAAGTCACATGCTCTGTTTCAGCAGAGCACTTGAGCTTAACTAACATCACCTGTGTTCAGAGACATGCTTGCTGAATTATAATCTGATATGTGCTTAACTCTGGATTTAGAAACCTAATTTTATGTTTTTATTTTCAGAATCTTAGGGTTTTTTAGTCTAAACTGCTCAGTGCCTTCATAAGAAATTTCTTTATCAGTCAGAGATGACAAAATGTGCAAGTCAGTTACATAATTTATATTACCCAAGTCAACTTAATATATGCTGTTGTGAAATAATAGAGAATCTCAGCTAGACTTGAAAGTGGCTAACAGAATAAATGGTTAAAATACTAATTTTCTTAAAAATATTTTGGGTGTGATGTAGAGTCACCTATTTCTGATGATTAAAAATGGAAGTGTGTGAACCAGATGGAGACTTGAAGAAGTGACTGGCGAAGATGGGAAGGCAGGCAGTCCTTTGCCATGTGTTCTGTAAAGGAGGAAAGCCCTAGGTTTCAGTCTGACTCCTTTATTTTCCAGTCTAGGAGGGCTTAGTTGGTTTCTTGGTCTTAACTATGTAAACAAATAAGTACATAGTATCCTAGGTTGCAAAGCAGCCAAATATGAATGATATGGGACCCCCTGTATCATTTAAGTATTTACCATGTTATAGTATTTCATGTTAGCATCCATGGCAGCATACTAAGTAATATTCTTTGGCATGCATTATAAATATGGGTCTTCTAAACTCAAGGAGGAAGCCACTCGATTTCATGGGCAGACCCTGGGGCCAGTCACTATTTTCATGGGCTGAGTGTGGCAGGGTCCCCCCTACGCCTCTGGTCAAGGGGTCCTGGCACTTCCGCCCCTCTCCGCAGGCTGCCAGATAGCCCAAAACATCAGTCTGAGTACTCTGATTAAGCCCGAGGAAGCAATTAATCCACACATTATTAAGCATGAATTAATGCCTTCTTCAGGCTTAAAATCAGGGTAATTAAGCCACAATTCTGGGCCGTCCCCAAGCGAGCAGGCTGTACAAGCAGCTGCAGAAAGATCCCAGGCTGGCAGAGCTCTGACCTGGCTTGTTGCCAGCAGCAGGTGCGCATGCATGCACAGTGAGCTGGGTTGGGCACCACAGGAGCTGGTGCAGCCTCTTGGCTGCCTACCACAGTTGGCTCGGGACCTTGCTGCAGCTGCTTGTGCAGTCTCCTGCTGTGAGCAGCCCTGTGACCCCTTCCCCCCCCCAGTTTGCTTGCTTTTTTGCAGTGAGTCTGTTGTTTATCATGGAACGTGCTCTAATTTGTGATTTCAGTGAAAACCACACAACTGCAAATTTGGTAGGACCCTCATTATAAATACTGGAAGTGAGAAACTTCATTGGTAGGAAGTGCAAAGATTGAGCTACCATGTAGTCTTAAATCTGTTTCCTTGCTCAATGTGGTCTAATGTTTAATGATTTGATCACATTTTTCCTTAGACCATCCTTCCTTAGGCCTTTGTTATTGTGTAGACTGAATTGTGAATTAAGCAGATGTTTGTGTGGTAAAGGGTATTATGTTAACTAAGGCAGTGAACTGGGGGTTGGGGAGAGATGGATTCTGTTTCTGCTCTTTTGAATTGGTGTCCTTCAGCACTTAGACTTCCCTCATTTCAGTCAACTGTGGTATGTCAGACCCCCTCCAGACATTAATTGTGAGACGGGTTCATGAGGAATGTTATCGTGGATCTCAAAAATGGTCATCCTGTGACTTGTGTGAGATGTCACAGTGCATGATTTTTAGGATCCAGGATAAAATTCCTTGGGTCCCATCCCACATTTGCCAGCGCACCTGGGATTGGACAGCTGCTTCTCAATCTCAGCTCCCCATGCGCCCAGATCTTCAAAGAGAGCCAGTCTCCAGTGTGTGACTGCCTACATGCCCTTTAAACTTGACAGTTAGGGAGCCCTGTGTGACTGTGTCAGAGACCGACTCCCCAGTGCTGGGCTTCCTATGTACTGGGAAATTTAAATGGCTTGGGTGCAGCCTGGCAGCATGGAGACTGTATCCCTGATGCAGGGCTTCCCATGTGCAGGGGCATCCCAGCACTGGGGAGTGGCTCACTTTCCAATTAAAGCACAGTAGGAACCAGCCACAAAGGTGTTTTACATTTAATGAGTAGCATGGCTAATTCACTATTTCTATCATGTGATAAATTGCTTGAACTGGTGACGTTACAGTTTGTGTGATAATTGTAAGGTGTGGGAGGGAGCAAAGGAATCGGGGTTTCTCCATTGCCCACTTTTATAATAGTTCCCAAACCTTGTATGCAAACTGAAATTTTGCCCAACTTCTGGATGTATGTCCAGAACCAATGGAGGTCCAAGATGCAGTTTGGTGTTGTGCAGTGTCTGTATCTTATGATCATTTGATTTTTTTTTTTTTTTTTTTTTTTTTTTTTTT